CTAGGTCTGCACTGCAAAAAGAAGACGAGGAACCGGAGTGAGTCTTTATATATGTAATGACTGCTTGCTTGTCAGTGGCGATCTAAACGTTGCGAACTTTAAGATTTCATCAACATCTCGGACTTTGATGACCGTGGGCGGGCCTCGAGCAAACAGAGAGTCTCTGAAAACAAACGCCCCGGGCCCCCAGTTCAACAAAAGAACACATTCTTTGCGTAGGTGAACACATCACCTCGACGTTTTTTTGTATTTCGCCCATAGGTTGCACAAATTGTGGGTCGCCCGGAGGCCAGCAAAGCCGAATGAGAGAGCTACACCAGCAACCCTCAGCACAGAAGCCAGCAGAAGCTCCCGCGCGTGTCGGAGAAAGAGCTCGAAAGCGATGATGGATTCTCTAGTTCTTCGACAGTCTGACGGACTGACTGTCTGAGTGCTTTTGGAATCATCAAATACCAACTCCAATGGAACTTGGCGCAATGCTGTGTTTCACACCCTCACTCCGAAGGTCGCCAAGTCACGAATCGAAACGGACATGGTCTTTTTCAGAAGGCGTACTTAGGCGTACGGCATTCGTTTCTCCAGCACCCCCAAACATGAAAACCATGGTTCCGTGGGTCCAAACCAAGGAACCCTGGTTTTCCCCGGAAAATGAACGGACTAATAAGGTCAAACCGGGCTCCGGGGATCGGTCCTGGGTCGCTTCGAGGACCGGGCGCCCCGCCCGTAACCGACCCGTCTCGTCTCCAGACCGGGCGACGGAACATGACGCCATGGGATGCCAACCGAACAGAGCAGCGGAAAAACACAAGAATAGTATATTGTACAATAGTATTGGCAGCCTGGCACGATACACATTTTTTTTGGTATACTTGGCTTTGTATCAAGACTAGAGACCTTGTACCGCAGGCGTCAGTGATTTGGTTTCAGTACCAAGTACCGCGTTCGCGGCAAGTAGATGGAGGTGGACCCGGGTAGGGGTCTACACGTTCTGACTGTAAATGGTGGGCATCTTAATTGATCTCTGGCGCCAGACACAACATCTCAAGCTTGTGCTGGGCATCAGATCTTGGAGTCAGCCAGCCTAGTGGAAGATTCAGTCCTGATAAGTTTAAACCTCTACAGCCTGGCAGATCACATTTTCACTCCAACCAGAGACTGCTTCTTTATGCTTGTTTGATCCTGAAGCTGCCGTTCCCATCCGCTTCGAAGAGCCCTTTTCACAGACTGAAATCCCTTGCTACAGCTGTGGCTCAGGAACTTGCAGCCAAAGAAGAAGACACCAAGTTGTGCATTTTACCACACCGATTTCGCCCAGTGCATTCTCCGCCTTGCCGCCATGGGGGCGGAGGCCAGTTGCGTCACGGAATGCGGAGGCGCGAAAGGACGTGGGGATTTACCGGGCCACTTTGTCGTTCATGACACCAGCGTTGACCATCCGAAGAACTTGAAGAATGTTTGCTTTGTGGAGCAAACCCGGGAAAGCACCTGTGCTGGCAGCACCAGCTTTCGGGCAAGCAGGAACAACGGCAGAGTGATTCCCCGAGAGCCTCCCTGCAAGAAAGAAGAGGCAAAAGACTGGGAGACAAGTTGGATGTCGACAAGCTGGAACGCACACCGTAACATCTTGTGCTGCCCAGGGCCCTTTTCGTGTGCGGACGAAGCTATTTGAGGCAAGTGGACCAGAAAATTCTGCAAGGGGCCGCGAGAACGCAGTCCAGACTGCCAGACAAGCTGGAGCAACCACAGGAAAAGAGTTTGGAAGGCACATGTGGGGAAGGCGAGACAGAGAGGAAGAGAGAGAGAAAGAGAGAGAGAGAGATAGAGAGATAGATAGATAGATAGATAGATAGAGAGAGAGAGAGGAGAGAGGAGAGAGAGAGAGAGAGAGAGAGAGCAGGGGCCAAGAAACACCAACGGCATCTTTAACCGAATGTGGAGACAAGACATACAGATACAAGAAAAGACCACAAGCAAGGGACAATGCGGAAGGCAACCGCCGAAAGAGTGTGACGGAAGGATAAAAAGAAAGGCCAACACAGGTAGGCAGACCCCTGACTTGGGAGAAGGCAAGGAATGGGGCTGGCCAGGGTTTTGCTTTGATGGAATTCTCGATTGCATCAGAACTAGTCTGAACTTGAACTAGTGATTAGGGAGAAATAGCGCGTCCGCAATGAGGCCTGCCTTCTTGAGTCTTTTTCTTGGTCGATGTATGTTTCGACTCAGCACCATCGAACCCCCTGAGTCGAAGCCCCCGACGAGATGAGTCACGACCACGACCTTTTGAGGCTCAGATTGTCGGCCGCTGGTGCAGAGGCATGGCACAGCATAAGTTCATATTATGCAATGCTCGGCAATGCTCCTAATGTTCCACCGCTGAGATGCTTCAGGCTCATCCGGGAGCCAGAGGGGAAAGAGTCGGTTTCTACGCAGAGGCGAGAACCATTTGGGTAAGCAGAGCTAACCAAGCAGTTGATTGCTGCGGTCTGGACATGGTACACTAGATGGGTGCCTTGCATTTGGTCCAAACGGGCCTCCGCATATATACAGGCAACGAAAAAGGGCACAGCTTGCAACCTCGACACATGGGTTCTGACAAGATGTGTTTGTTTTTCCTGTTCTGAAAGCTGCTCTGGGCTGCGAGAAAAGTTGAAGAAGCGCATCAACAGTATGTCATTGCACATTCGCTCCTTCTGGCTGCGATGCTGCGTCAGGTACGCGCATGCAGAGGCACACGAGTGCTGCACTAGACGGGTCTGAGTGTGAATTGCAGACGAGCTTTGTTGAATTGCAAGTCATCAGAGCACAGGTTGGGCCCCAGAAGGCCTTTTTGCTGAAGATCTTATCCTGCCGGAAACAGGATCAGAAGAAATACCGACAAAACGTCCTCACTTCTTGAGAACGCCAACGGCACTGCACAATCCTCCCGGTCCCCGCAGGTTTGGACATAGGAAGACCTCAACCGCCGGCGTTCCGACCCCCCTGGAAGAAAGGACATAGACCGTAGACCAGTCTACCCAGCCAGGGGTGAGATTTCGGGGGTCCAAAAAAGACCTCAATCGTTCTGGGACGCCCAGGATCAGAAGCAACATGGCTGACGTAGGTAAAAGGATCTGACATAGGTAAAAAGGTGACACAGGTAAAAGGATCAGAACCCTTTTTAGCCATAGCTGTAGTCATAGCGGCAGCCATAGGGGTACACCTATTTTGATCAGAAGCCATAGCTGTTTCTGAACCAACATCACCGTGGCGGGACGCCCACCGCGCCACGGCCATCAGGCGACCGCGACACCGGAGAGCACGACGGAAGTTACTTGGGGGTCGCAGGCGGCCCAGCTGGGCCGCGGAAAAGGTCGCACGTCGCACGCCAGGGTCGACAAAGGCACCTTAAGTGCGTTTCTAGTTAACTGTAACAGTCATTTAAAGGGTCTACTGTTTAACTCTATATAAAAAGAATAGCACCATGGAATCACACAACATGTACATATAAAATACACATTATTATTGTGTTGTGATTGACATTGTATTGTTCTGTGTTATATTGTCTTGTCTTGTACTATATTATGTCATCTTATGTTATATTATACTATGTTATACTATATTATATATATATAATATTGTAATATATTACATTATATTATATTACATTATATTATACTATATTATAGTATTTCAATAGATTTGAATAGATTATATACATATACATTACATTACATTATATACAGTATATATATGTATATATACAATACTATGTACAATCCTTTGTTTGGGCAGTGTGATGATACTCGATCGCGGTCATCTGGGCTTTCAGAGGTGGAATGCAAGGGGAATCTTTGCCACGGGCCATTGAGGAACATGGAGGGTTGGAGGGGGCTGCGAAGAGCCTCACCACTGAAGTTGAAGATTCTGGATGAAACGGTTTTTGGAGGCTGTGGAATCTTTGGTCACGCGAAAAGCAACTGAAAAACCACCTTGAGGGCGGTCCGATGATGCAGATCCATGAAGCTGAATGTGCCTCTTCCGGTGCCAGATGCCACCTCTTCCGCCGGTGCAGCCCGGCCTGATCTTACACGATGGGGTGCAGGACCGGAGGGACAAATGACCTGAGAGGGTTGAAAGGATTAAGGATGGGGATCTATAGATATATAGGTTTCAAACCTGGTTTACACTCTATGGGGATCTACTATAGTATATAGTATGGGGACCTTAGAGGTCCCCAAATAGGTTTCAAAGCTTTTCAATGTCTTGTGTCCAATACATTTCGGGGATTTGCCTTGGACATGTCAACTTCATTGTGATCAGGACCTCATCGGACATTCAGGTGTGACTGGACCAGACCTCATCGTGTGTGGGTGCAATTCGTTTCAAGGTTCCCATATCGGATTTAAAACCATTCGTGTTGCCAAACTTATTTTTGCCTAGACAATTTTTAGCCATGTACTGTATCCCTGTCCATTTCAACATCGACCATTTTCTAGGTCACTTGTGTAGATGGGCAAATCAACTTTCTAGCTCTTTCCAATCCTTCATTTGTGAGGAAGGAATTAATTCCTCACATCGTGGTTTGTATGGTGTGGAGAACAACTTAGGGTTGACCCGCAATGACATCAATGGTCTTTGCTTTAAGTTCTTGGCATAATTGGGCCTTCCTTGTAGTGTGCTTCCTGGTTGGAGAGACGTCAGAGGAGTTGGACCACATTTCAGGCAGACCAGATGAACAGCCACACCTCAACAGCCACAGGCTCATGGCCACAGGGAGACCTTTTGGCCCTGGCTGGGTAGATTGATCTATTTCCCCTACCGACCAGGGGATTTGGATCTTCATGTATGAAGGTATTTCCCCACCTGTCTGGTGAGGGTTGTTAGACTTGATGTCAGCTGCCTTGCTCCTCCTCCGCCTTGACCGTCACTGCGAGGACGACTTCGACCGTTGGCCTTTGCCAGAGCTGGACGGGGTTGGTCGTCAGGTGTGCTCGTCGGGGGTCATCCTGATTCACCGCAGGTCGCTTGTGCCTCCGGTGAGTCATGGCGTTTGCTCTGGCACTCAAAAACAAACATGAGACGTTTTGCACCGTTTGAGCGCTGTTTTTGAAGCGTTTGGACCTGGGTATTTGCTGACCTTGGTGGTTTCTTGTCGGAATTGGTTGGAATGCAGCAGTGCAGTGAGTTCTCTTTGCACAGTAGACTCGGGAGATTTCTGGGAGGGCAGTCTGGTGCAGATGTGGGTCAATTGGTCAGTGAACAAGCCGTACAATAGAGCTCTCTCCCATATTCCGTATTCCAGTTCAAGCAGGCCAATGAGCTGTGAGGTACCCATCCCCATCTCAAGGATTGTGAAAGAATCTAAAGTGGGCCCAAACGCCCATTGGTCGAATGACGATCAGATTCTGTGTTCACCTCCAAAGTAAGCATTCGGGATGCCCCACTGCGGAGAATGGTGAACCCCCAAAACGAAAGGACATACTCTACATCTAGTGTGTTATACTAGTTGTTATCCAAACTCAAATCATGTTTGTGTCCGACTGAATTCATGGCTTAGAGACTCCTTCATGGCTGGATGCGCAGTGTCTTAGCCACCCAGGGAGAAGCGGACGATCACATCAGACAGCCTCCACCCTAGAAGCGATGGCCGAGCGATGGCCTCCAACCTAGAAGCTACTACTAGGGTGTTTATTGACCACACTTGGAAGAGAACATCTGGCAGGGGCAGCTTCCAAACCCCGGGGGTGCGATCTACCGCGGCCTCCATGCGGTCGGTCGACCGCGCTCCCCCCCAGACCTCGCGGAGCGGCAGTCGGAGCCGCGCGGTCGCGCCGTGGCCGACCTCGTGAGGCCCTCGTGGATTTCACGCAAGATCTGGTCCGGGGGAGGAGACGTCCGTGGCGCGCGTCTCGTGCCTCCTTGTTGGAAGAAGTCACACCACACACAACCAGCGCCATCGCCACATCCGGGTGCAGGGAGTCATGGTGCCGCCATTCACACGATTGATGAAAACACCGGGTGTCGTAGCCCCCTTAGACCGACCGCCCCGGCCAAAATAAGGGGTTTTGCGGGTGGTGCGTCGTGAAAAGCTTTCATTTGCGCCAGTCGTGAAGGCCAAAATAAGAAAAACTAATGGTTGGCTTGGGAATCCTAAACTATCCAGGAGGGCATTGAGGGCATTGGAGGAAGTTAGGATTTCCTCTAACCCGACGCCGACGCCCTCAGGACATTTCCTGTCCTGGCTCTGAACGGAGATGCCGTGGAATGCCTAGTGTCGCTGGACAAGCAGGCTGGGAAGTGTGGCCGAAATCAGGTTCTTTGGGGGGACGGCTGCACGGAGATGAGCAGCGCTTGAGTACATTCCCTCAAAAAATATGGGCTGTGAACTTTCTGTTTTGTGAACAGACAGGGCCTGGCGACACACACACACACACACCCATCAGGATCCATGAACACTTGGAGTTTCGAACCAGGAGAACGATCTGAAGAAAGAGTCCAATTTTGCATGCTGGAATGACCTGGAATCATCTGGAATCATCTGACTACTAGTGCCACTCCCCAGGGAATGAAGGTGGCTGCCCCGACAGATACCGATCCGGAATCTGCAACGGATCCAGCCACCCCCCATGAACCTACGAGTCGCACGAGTCAGTCATTCCGAATGAAGCAGTAATATAAGTATACTGCTCCCTCCCCAAACCTCCTGAGACATGGCCTGCGACGACGACGACGACGCCGCCGCCGCCGCCGCCGCCGACGACGACGACGACGACGACCACGACGACGACGACGACGACGACCACCACCACCACCACCACCACCACCACGACGACAAAAAAGGAACATACGCGTTCTGAAGCGATAGATGGGCAGGGACGTGACAGGCCACGATGCTTCGACTCGTTTACATGTCTCCAGCACATCTGTCTGTCCGCCGGTCTGCTCCACTTGCTACGACAGGGAATGATTTGCTACGAAAATGGTTGCTGTGATGCACACCATCCTGCTCTCCTGGTTTCACCGTCGCTGGAACCCCCGCAACAGCCATGTACAAGAGTCCTAGAGGCCAATCTTTCAGAATTCCACATGTTTCAAGTTAGCACCTATAGCCTTTGTAGGAATGGTTCTTTCTTGGGTTTATCCAGACGGCTGCCATTTGATGTGATGATCCAGAAGTGGTGAAAACAGCCTTCCCTTGCAGCTCCCACGAGCTGCGACCCCTCGCGGGAACCGGTGGACCGTTCACACGTTACGAGCGGCCGACTCCTCAGTTGCGCTACATGGTGATCCAGAGGACTGGAAAGAAGGCCACGAGTGGGACGGGGGATGGGAGCCTGTAGGCCGAACAGCGAAGGACGGAGCAGGCCGAACCGCTGGGAATTCGCAGGCTGTAGCTCAAGCGGATTCGACTGGATGTGGCAATGGATTCGACTGGTCAAGCACAGGTGTGGGCAATGGCACAATGAAAATAGACTTCGGTAGCCCCATGGCATTTCAGTTGGAAGAAGGTCAGTTTTTTTCTGGATCTTTTTGTGGAATGTTCAGTTCAGGTTATTCGGCATATAATAACTATAGATCTGCAAAAGACTCAATGAATGAGGTTCGGAGTTCTGAAACAGCCTCACCTGTTGGAATGTGGAATATGTTCCTCAGAGGCCAAGGGGGGGGTGGAACCCTCCTTTGCCCTGTGGCCCGTGCATGGTTTCAAAGATCTAGGAGCAAATGCTGATGGCCTGGCGGGTTTCTGGATTTTGTCGAATTGAACTTCCTTGTCTAGAGCGAAGAACTATTCTGCATTTTGATGGTTAGATTTGCAATCACTTAGCCAGGATTCACCCAGCTTTTTGTCATGGTTTTAGCCAGGTTCTGCCCGCACTTGAGCTGATTTCTGATAGCGCTTTCAACCTAACCACTCAAAAGCATCTATATTCAGTGGTTTTGGAGGCTTAGAGGCTCGATGGCACATTCCCCAAGTTGGGTGGTTGATGTAGACCCTTCTTCTGAAAGAGACATTATATAAGGGTGCAGTGCCATCGAACCTCTGAAACCATTGTACTTCCGTTACAATTTACAACATCAGTGTCACTTCTGCATACTTCTGGATGCCTTCTCCGGGCCTTCTTCGGACGAGATGAAGATAGGTTCTGGACGAGGGACGTGGGTTTTTCTCCACAGAAAATGTCGGCAAGGTGTTGGGGTCCAGATTGCTGGCATGGGAGACTTCCATTCATCGCACACCTCCACTCCTCATCACAAGCGAGGCCAGCACTTCTCAGAACTTCTGAGAGGAACTTTTCATCATCTTCCACTAGGCTTTGAACCAGGTGCTTGAAAAAGGAGACCAGCAGCCTGCAAAGCAGGGTTCTGGTCTGGTGCTCCCTCCTATCATTTTCAAGAGACCTCTGACCTCTCCATGTGCGACTCCCCAACACGCGTCGCCGTGCCTGTCAGCGCGCCAGGATCACAAGCGGCGGGCCCTGGCGCTCGAAACGGTGGACCAGGTCTGCGTCGGGAAGGCCCGGGGTCGCGGATGGGATGTCGCGGATGGCTCAATCCACCGGGGCCCTGGGAGAGGCTGTGAGGTCACACGAAGGCGAGAAAGCAAACAAGTCCATGATCTTTAAAGGGATGGGGGACACACCGTGATGAGGCTGTGATGTGAAGGTGAGACAAAAGTTTGGATTGGAGAAAGAAGTGAAGGGAATGTCCATGGTTTGTGGCTGGCTTCACTACGGTAGAATGACATCGTGAAAACATTGGTGAAAGGCAGGCCACACATGCTCTTCATAGACCGTGCCCTGGTCTAGTTGTATTTGTCATGGTATTAAAGCAAGATCATGGGAGCATGATTTTTGTAAGTCTTTATCGATGGGTGAGCTTTATAACGTATTGGATAAGCGGAGATTTGTGTATGGCAGATGGTTTTCCCCCGGATGTCAGGGAACGTATCACATTCCCATGTCAGGTATCATTGAGAACAGGTCTTTTTAGGGCTTTTTAAGCGCCAGATATACTTCGAGTGGTTGAGTAGTGAACGTACCAACTAGTGCAGGGGGATCATTCGTTCTCAAAGACTCTCGGCGACGGGCATATGCATGGGAGCGCTCTGACACCGCGCGCAGGAGGCACTGGATGAGTCTGGTCTGCCTCTCACGGAGTTCTGCGTCTGTCTGCTGCTCACCAAAGGGCAGGCGCAAGCGCAGCGGCGGTTGGTTGGTCTCATCGGTGGCCCAAACGGTCTCCACGGTCGGTCCAAACAGGTAGCAGGTCCAGCGCCCTGCCCGGTCTCCGCCTCAAAACCCGTGGTGGCGCGGGTCTGTTCAGCCACCGCGTCCAGGCAGTGGCATTGATCTTTCCCAATTTCCAGGTGCATCGGCCGGCCGGACATGCCCAAACGCGTGAGGAGGCGCCTGGCGCCATCCCACCTCCCCACCTCCCCACCTCCACTTGATCCACTTGATCCGACCCAAAAGAGTTCGGTTCCTGAACCCGACCTCGAGGGGCCCGCACGTGGTTCTACCGCACGACCGGAGAACGTGAGGCGCTCACGTATCGAGTCTGGTGACTACTTGCGACCTCGACTGGTTGGGTGAGCCGCCCCCCCTTTTGAGACTTCGTTTGGGTCCTTTTGGCACATCTGTCAAACGGAGGGTCAAAGTCATGAAGCCCATTTCCGGAAAGCTTCCCTCCATTTGCTTTGCTTGCCCCTGGACTTGGGACGTTTGGTGCAATGGTGGAGATGCTGCCACCGAAGTATGCATTCAACTGTTGCCCTACGACCGCACCCTTTGGTCGTCTATCAGCTCAAAATGGATGACGCTACTGACGCCACCGCTGTGCCTGCATCGCGGACCATCGCCCAAGACCCCCCCATATGGACCGGTTCCCAACCGCGCCGCCGCGCAGCCATTGGACCGCAAACACCAATCCCTCACCCGGCACGGGCGAGTTCGCCGTCTCACTAGGCACCGCGACCGTTGTCCGATCTGCTCAGCCATGTCCGGCGGGACCATTACGAGCGATTTTGCCATGCTCACAGCTCAGCTACTGGAGCGAAAACGGGTTGGAAGGGACCAGGTTTTCCGGCAGGGGTCAAGGGAAGATCGCTTAGTTGATGAAGTGGCGAGATACATTCCGAGCGGTTCTGTCGCTTGGGCCAGTCCAGATGCTCTGAATGCCCAGATGCTCTTTTAGGCTTCGTACTTATACAGTTAACATCAATGAACCCCATACAGGGTATGACAAGGGCATACCATACAGGTTTCTGCCCATACAGATTTCTACACTGGTCACCTCTTTTGCTCGGGTTTGCGCCTTCCGCGAAGCCGACGATTCATCAGAGCTGGGGGGACATTCGAAGCCTGCGCAGCCTGCGCGGTTGAAACAGCAAGGCCAGCAAGGTCCTCGCACCTCAGATATGTTCAACCGTGATGTCTTTTCTTTGTTAAACAACATGTCAGATGATCCACTCTTTCCAAGAGAGTGATGGTTTCCAATGGTTTTCCCATGGTTTTCCACGACCTCCTCCTTTCTCTCTTGCTGATCCGGATCCGACCGGATCGTGACCGGATCCGAGCGGAGAGCCGGGCCGGGCCGAGCGGAGAGCCGCGCCAGGAGATCCTGCGAGCGCATGAGGGGATGCGGGTCTTCTCTCCCAGCAGCTCGGAGCTTCGGAGCGGCCGGTGGAGCGGCGGAGCGGCCGGCGGAAGGCCGGCGGAAGGCTGGAGGTTGAACTGCTCCAAGGGCTGGATCTGGAATGGGACCCTGGGACCCTAAAAGCCCTTCCTGTTCGCAGCTTCGAGAGGGGTTCTTTATCTCTTGAGACAGAGCCGCTGCTTTCCGAACCACGGCTGCTTTCCGAACCACGGCTGCCGTAGTCACTACAAATGGATCGCATCGCCCCTGACCCAGCTGACCCAACGGTTGGTTGAATCAATCTGAACAAGTGGCCGTTCGAATGAATCGAGATCCTTTAACAAGCCCCCGGAGGGTTTAGGATGGTTTAGGGGTTCCAAAAAGGCTGGCAAAGCCTCTGCAAGTGAGGCAGCCAAGTGTTGTGACATTCTCGAGCGCTGGGCTCCCATGGCCAAGGAAATTCCCAGGGAGAAGTCCATGAGCACGTGCTCTTGCCGAAGGCTTGCCTGAAGCTTTTGGATGCAGCCCAGGACACATTGACACTTGTGTCGCTTCGTGATGCAACTACATTTTGGCGTGAACCCTTGAATGGGGGGTGGGGAGGCTCCATTTAGAGACAATTTCAATTGCAGGCTCGTCACTGCCATCTACTGTACCCTTTGTGATTTGCATGTCAGAATGCGCGTGACCCTTTTCAAGCTTGGGCGCACCGCATCTGGAATTTCATCCTCGGGCCTGTCAGAAAACCATGCATCGTGTTGGACCCGGATTGGAAATGAAGGACTACCACTTGAAGGGCGACTTCACCAAAGTGGTTAGCATTGTTGAGAGCATGGACAACTATGAACTGATGATCACAGGCATGGGAAGTGGATGGAGCCTGGCAGGGCCATGGCCAAACAAGTCTTTTCTCCAAATGACCTCCGCAGAAGGTACATCCAGATTTGTTCCTTGTACTAGCCCAAAATGCCAGAAAAGCAACGCTTGAAAGGACCACTGGTTGATGGACCGGCATCTTGCCATTATGGACCATGATGGAGGTTATCAATGGCCATCCCTGTTTTCTTTTTCAAATCTATATTATATGTTTTTCAGGTTGTACAGGGAGGTATTCATGTTTGGGATCTTCTTTGACTGCATTGCCATTCCAAGAGTACAGACTTCCCCAGTGGTTCTCAAGACTAAGTAGCAAAATTGACCACCAACCGAGGATATATTATTTCAATTCGTATCCTCTATATCAGGGCCTTTGTGTTCTGAATGCACGGAACTATTTAGAACTATGTTTTTTTTTTTGGAAAACATTGGTAAATTTTTGATCACATAGTAAAATTGGGAAAAAATATTGGAAATTCTTGTGTTTTTTTTTCTTGGCTTTGACTTATGTAAGCAGTGACCACCAAGGCACCATTTGAGGACCTTCAGAAACACATTTTGGGGCCACTACCACTGCCAAAATCTTCACTTCACAGGCCCCCCACAAAGAACATGAAAGCACTTCAAGAAACATTTGTGGTCACACCGTAGTGCTACCGGCTGTCAGTTTAAAGTTATGTTCAACAAAGGACTTCCAGCCACAGGCCAAGCACTTTGTTTCGCATTTGGTTCATTGTTCTTTCTCGGCATCAATTCCCCACTCGACTTCTTATTTCTGCGTTTAGCAGCGGTGCAGTATGGTCGGCGTGGTTCATACAACATCCTGAGGGTTGACCACGTGTTGACGTTGCCCATTGTAGGTGTGAAATCATTTAATCATGTTTTTCTGTAATTGTGTTATCAATCTTTATGATTCATGTACTACTGGGAAAACTTCGGCCGTAATTAATACTCACTTCAAATTGTGGACAAACTTGCAGCCTGCAAATGAAGTGAAGTATATAAGAAGTAGGCTGGGCAGTTTCAAAATCCCAACACCCAATCAAAGAGTTCATAAGACAATTTCTACTTAGATTCAAACCAATTTGGTGAGGCCAATTTGGCGAGGTCGACCGTGCACTGGCCAAGCGCTATAACATTTGACCTGTTATGTTCTATATAAGTTCATAGCTTGCGGTCACCAATTGAAAATTCTACCACGCTAGTGACTTGCACTTAACTTAACGTACACCTGAGAATTGGAATCTGAACTATCCACATGTGAATTAGATTTAACTCACCACCACCACGACCACCATCGAGAAGGCTTTCAACTTTCCAAAAGCTTGACAGCACTTCGAAGTGTTCCACTCCTGAAATTTGATTCCTGACTTTCCCGACAAATGCTGCCAACTTCTGTGGCGTGCGCTTTCTCTCCCCTCGGTCATTTTCCCAGCTCTACTCCTCGATTTTGAAGACAGCCGGTGAAAAGTTTCATATTTCGATACATTTCGGGCTTGTGGTGCTCCCCAGAACGGTTCCAGAACGGTTCTGAACGGTTCTGCTCCCATCCTTCTCCTCAAATGTTCTTTTTGCTGTTGTCCAGCCTATTTTTGATGCGTCCCATGTTTTCCTTATTGGAAGCCGCCGGCTAGGTTCTTGCCTTCGTTCGCTTCTGATTCGCAGGATGTTGTTTCTTTTTTCGCTGCCACACTGCTCAACGCAAGACGTTGTCGAACATTAAACACACCTTGGACCTGGACCTTTCACCAAAACTCCCAAAGATAAGAGGCCATTGTTTAATAAACAAGAGAGATGGGGGGAGAGAGAGAGAGAGAGATTGCCTAACTGGAGATTGAATGACACTGAGTATGTAAGAACGAAGGCCAGGCATGAATGGATATTTCTCAACATTCTGAGTTCTTGGGACTTCCCACGCCTATAGACGATGCACCATGGACGTGACAACTTTTTCCAGACTAAGCAGTTGCTAAACCTTACCTTTTGCAAACGTTGATGACTTATGACTTGCTAACTGATAGTTGCAATCATAACATCTAGCTACCTATAACATATCCTTTGCTTTAAACAGCTATAAGTTCCCGGAAACTAAAGGAAAATGCAATCCCCAGAACCGTTCTGAGGATTCAACGCCAAAAAAGGTGAATAGTTCTAAATCGTTCTAAATAGTTCTGAAGAGTTTGAAGACTCGGAACCGTTCAGAACCGTTCCGAGAGATCCCTAGTCCAGACGCTTGGAACCGTTCAGAACCGTTCTGGGGAACCTGTTATGGAGTTGTTTGTGTAATTGCTTTGAACAACACAAGTTAAGATGTACAATAGGCTGGTTGAAAGTTCCAAAAGGTATTATATACAGTAGATATTGTAGGTTCATGAGTTTTCACTGAAGAGCTATGGTTGAACAATTGCGTTGCATGCAGCTGCTTGTATGAGTAAACATACGCTTTCCCAGACTCACTGGAATGTCACGAGTGGACAAATGCATTCACTGGACTCACCATTTTTTGAAATATTGTTCCTCAGATTTGTGTCGGCACCATTTTACCGGATTGTTTCTCTTTTCTCTCAATTTATTTACAGTTTGTTTCCTAGATTTGTTCCCATGTGATACTTTTCAAACCATGTTTCTCCAATATTTTTTTCCTATACTGGTTGGAACAACACAGATAGAGAATACAAACCGAAATAAGGGATATATGACAATATATAGCTATATGATGCTATATGTTATATGATAATAGCTATATGATATACGATATGATTAATATATATATATACACAGTATATACATATCCATATCCATAGATAATACAATATACTGTATATATATATAAACATATACCGGTAATTTTGACTG